CCATTTACAGATAGAGTAGACTAAACCGATAGTTAAAATCAAGGCAACTGTGAGTGGAAATGCCAGTTTTCATAATGGTAGTAAAAGAAAAATGATCAGCAGAATGGCTTTTTTTTTTTTTTTTGAGAGGTTTTTGCTATAGAGCGCATGCGCTCGCCAGAAAGACAGAGAGAGACAGAGACAGAAAGTGAGAAATCACCTCTCCGGGGGCATGGACATGCTACAATCCCTTCTCCTCCATTTTCCTCTTGGTCTTTTGGACATGCATGCACACATGTCCTGCGTGAGTTTCACTAACCAGGTCAAGGACTTGAATTGCAGTCGACTACATGGGAGTCTAGAGACATAGCCATTAAGCCAATTGCTGGTCCTATCAGTAGAATGACTTTTAAAAAAAAGTTGAAGTATTAGTAATTCTGGGCTAAATTGATTTATAAGTCATCCCTCTACAATCTATAATGAACAGCCACTTCTTATTGTCCCCTTCCATTGTCCCTGCAGTTTAACTCCCTTCATTCCCTCTCTGCAAACTTTCCATGCAGGGTGGATCCATCATGAAAATGTATACCTTTAGGACAGTGGTCCCCAACCTTCTTGACACTAGGGACTGCTTTTATGGAAGACAATTTTTCCATGGACGGGAAGGTCGGGGATGGATTATAAGAGTATACAGTCTTGATCCCTCACATGTGCAGTTCACAGTGGAGTTTGTGCTCCTATGAGAATCTGATGCTTCACCAATCTCATGGGAGGTGGAGCTCACGCAGCAATGTGAGCATTGGGGAGTGGCTATAAATCCAGATGAAGCTTCGCTCACTCGTCTGCACTTACCTCTCACCGTGTGGCATAGTTTCTAACAGGCCATGGATCGGAACCAGTTCCATGGCCTGAGGGCTAGGGACTCCTGGAGAATTGAGGTAGAAAAGATTTGATAAACAGGATTAGTTTAGAATAGTGGGCTTGTTAAAACACAGATTGCTGGGGCCAGAGGATGGTTTGGTGGTTAAGGCACTGGGTTCCACATGACTGACCATGGTTTGAGTCTCAGATGTGGTGACTCGTAAATCATGCTGGGTGCTTGTGTGTGCATGCCTGAAATCCAGAGAGGAGCTGGAAAAGAAAGAATTGCAGCATGGCCATCCCCTCTCAGGGGTCGGTGGGTGGTGATTTCTAACTTTCCTTCTCTTTGTTTCTCTCTGTCTTTCTCTGATGAGCACATGCACCTTATGTAAAAGAAAAAAAAAAAGCTGCAGATTGTTAGGCAGCAACCCCAAGTTTCAGGTTGAGCGGTTCTTGTGAGGCCTAATTATTTGCATTTCTGGCTAGTTATCGGGCAGTGCCAGTGCTACCAGGCCAGTATCACACCTTGACTGCCACTGTGTTACAGGCAGTGCATTGTGATGTAGTAAAGCTAACAGAGCAAGTTAAGCTATTCTTTGAATCTTTGAGTTGACAGTTAAAACCAGAAGCCTCCCTGTGGGCTTAAGACCCCCACCCAGGAAATGGGAAAGCAGAGGAAGTGATGTAGTAATCTGTTTTTTGGGCAGTAGTAACCACCAAGCTGTTTAGATGAGTAGGACACAAATGTAATCCCAAATCTTAAAAGAAAGAAGGTAAATTCTCCAATTAGAGCATAGAATTTAACATTAAACATAGGGAACATTCCAATACAGAAAGGGAGATGATAACAGGAAACTCAAATAAAAACAGGATGTAAACACACCCGTTTTCTTTCTTATGGAATAAATTTATATTTTATTGTTTTTGGAGAGTTTTTTGCTATAGGGCTCGTGCGCTCGCCAGAAAGACAGAGAAAGACAAAGAGATAGAAAGTGAGAAATCACACCCTAGGGGGGATGGCCACACCGCAGTCCCTTCTCCTCCATTCTCCTCTCAGGATCTTGGGCACACACGGACACGCGTCCGGCGTGAGTTTAAGCCACTGGGTCCAGGACTCGAACTATGGTCGACTACACGGGAGTCCAACAACATAGCCATTACACTAACTGCTGGTCCCTCTTAGGGAATAAATGACTAGACTTACGGTTAGCATGGCAGGACAGGGTACTGATAGTCTAGCCTGTTCACTGCTGCAGTCTTTTCTCTTGCCTCCTGTGTCTGAGTGGAGCCCCTTCCTCCTGTGTGGTTACATGCGCATGCTTCCACCCACCTACCCTCCCCTGCTTTACTTGTAGCTCCTTCAACAAAGCACACTCTTTGGCCCACGTACTTTTTCATATACTGTTCTAGCTGCATGAAATGCCTTCCCTCACTCTCGTTCTCCTTTTTCTTTTCTTTTCAAAAAAATTCTGCCAGAGCACACATGTGTTCACAGAGAGAGACACAGGACGGGGGATGAGCGAAAAAGCACCCCACATGTGGGATAGTCACACCACAATCTCTTCTCCTTCACTTCTCCCTCCTTTTGGGATTTTGGGCATGCACACACATGTGCCTGGTATGTTTCTCAAGCTGCTGGGTCCAGGACTCCAACCATGCAGTTGGCCACGTGGGATTCAGCCACCTTAACCTCCATGCCACCTGCTGGCCTTCCATGAGCTTTTCGAAAAACCCTCATATATGGATATTTCACTAATACAACGGAGGAGCCATTAGGGGTTGAATTAATTAATATTATGTAAATTCGTAGACAGATTTTTACTTTTGATTTTATTCTCAGTGTACCTTCATAAATAGAATTTTTGGCACCATACTTCAAAGAATGAGAAGATAAACACTTTTTTTAAAAAATTAAATTTGAAAAAGAAAAATAAGCTCTATAGTTACCACACTCTTCATCCGGCTTCCCTCCAAAATTGTTTACTGCTTGTCTCACATTTTCTCAAATACTCAGCAGGCTGTGCTTCTAAATTAGCTAGATGTTACCTTAGGCTGCTCACTGTGTTTGCACCAAGATTTATAGTGTCGTGTGACTGCTCAGCTTCAATGAGATAGATGCCGTCAGAACAAAATGCTGTCTTGGCCATAGCAAATTTCATTTTGCACGGTGGCCGTAATTTGCAGGTACACTTTGGAGAGCCTGCAGTATGCCGGAATGGCACAGAATACCAGGTGAGCGTTCCTGGGCAGCGGTGATTTCTGGGGGCAAAGAATTCAGGAGAACCAGCAAAATGATTCCAGACAGATATATCTGCTTCCTGTTTTCCCATCACTACTGCTTTCCCCAGCTTTGGAAGTGAACTGTAATATCCCCCTAAACCCATTTTCTTTTAGAAGCATAGGCCTCCTTAACTGCCTGTTTTCATCAGTTTACTTTCCTCCTCCACTTCATTCTCTAAATAGAATCTTTTACACTTCCCTAGGGAGATCCTCTGTGTGCTGAATTTCAAGAAGATGGTGCCTAGAGTAAATGATTTGTGTGGCCTCATGAAATGAAGCGTGCACACACCTAGCAATCTTATTAATGAGCCAACTTTCTAAGCACATGTATAATGAATTAGAAGTGTTAACTATTGTAGTATATGCTTGATATACATATAAGATATGCAGGGTCTTCAAAGAGTTTGTGTAAAAAGCGTATCTAAAAATCATGGCATCAGCACATGGCGTGGTGGTTAAGGCCAACTGCACAGTTTGAGTCCTGGACCTGATGGCTTGAAAATATGCTTGGTGTGTACATGTGCATGTGACCACATGGGTGTGCACCCACAATCCTGATGGGAGAGTGGAGGAGGAGGGATTGCGGTGTGGTATCTCCCTGGGAGTGCTTTCTCACTTTCTCTCTCTCTCTACGTCTGTCTCTAGCAAGTACACACTCCCTATAGCAAACTAAAACAAATAAACAAGCACCAAAAAATCTGTTCATATATTTCATTTTATTGGTAGCAAAATAAACTCAGGCTTCAATTCCATTTTCCACATACTTTTTGATTGAGCCTTATATATTTTTTGTTGCTTTTGCCCCAACAATTATGCCTATTGAAGAGGATGTACATGGGTGAATGCAGGTATTTGGGAAAGTGGGAGAAGGAGGTAAACAGAATTTTTTCCATGTGAATAAAAATGGAAGCATTTTAAAAATAATTTTGCGTTCGCTTTCTTTGATAGCCTCCCTTCTGGAATTGTGAAAGGCTAGTGATGCATGGGACCATTAAGAAAGAGAATGATTCCTATTTCATTCGCAGTAGTCCCTCATTGAAAATACCAGTTTACAGCATCTGGGAGAATTTTGGTTATTATCTGAGTTTCAAATTTGTTTGTATGTACGTCGTATTTATTTCTACTTTGTACAAATATTAGCACAGTGATTGAGTTTTAAAAGCATATAGAATACTGCTTTTATTTAAACTATTTATAAATAAGGTTATTTTATACTTAAAAAATATTTTCAAAATTGTTTTTTGGTATATACAGAATGCCAGGCTCAGGATTTGAACACATCAATACACTATTCTTTTTAAAGTTTTGCTGTAGGGTGTATGTGCTCGCTGGAGAGAGACACGGGTGGGCGAGTGAGAAATCATCCCCTGGTGGGATGGCCATGCTGCAGTCCCTTCTCCATTTTCCACTTGGGATTTTAGGCACACATGCACATGTGCCTGGTATAACTTTCAAGCTTCCAGATCCAGGACTTGAAACACACAGCTGGTCATTGGGATACAGTACCCCAGTACACTGGTTTTTTGTTTATTTTGAATTTCTTCCTTCAGAAAGAATCAGAGAGAGAGGCACCCCCAACAGAGTCTTCGTGCCACCGTGTACCCAGGGCTCAGCTAGCACATGTGCTGGGTCACTGGCATGTGTGCATGCCATGTGCTCAGGGAGGTCCCAGGACCTTTCTGATGTGGGTCTGACTGTATTACCAGTGTGCCACCTGGCTCCAGGTGTTGTGTTTGAATTTGCTTCTGTGCCTAGATTCTTGCTCTTATGTATGGACCCACAAGGAAATTCTGGTTCACTTCAGGGCAGCAGGTAGCATGCATTTATATGGCATGTTTTTATTTCAACTCTTGCTTTATTTTATTTTATTTTATTTTCAGCATTCTGGAACAGGATTCCAGTAGAATGAAACCTCACATATCTCCTGCAAATCAAGGACGGCGTCTTCTAGGGTTTTCTGCTAAAGAGGACCAAGACACGTCAGACGGCATCATCGAGAAAAGCAGTTACAGGTGAGATGGCACGTCGTCTGCTGGTCCAGTTGGTTTAATGAAACTGAAACAGAACTATCTAGTGTAACTTTTTAAAAAAGAATTTATTTAACTTTATTTATTTATGTATTTTAATTTGACCAGCGAGGGACAGAGTGAGAGTGAGAGCGAGAGAGAGAGAAAGTGAGAAAGTAAGCCGCCAGATCTGGGAACCTTTCCCAGTTTTAGAATTATTGTAGAGATGTGACCTTAAAATAGCAGTTTATGTGCATTAGCATACACGATATACATACATTGCATGGTATTGTAGACAGTGTCTTTAATACAGTTATTTTACTTCTTCATACATTTACTATGGCTAGAGCTTGTTGCTGTGTCATCTGTGGTTAGATAGTGATGTGATGGAATGATGTAGTTGAACCTATTTACAAATGACTAGATAAAATAATTTATTTTTGATTTATTGTGATCTTTTTGAATCCCTCCCTTATTACAATTTAATACTGACTTAGTAAATTTCCATATTGCTTGTCAGTATCGAAAGACTTAGAACTGTAAGAAAATATAACCTATATTATGTTAATTAGAGGACAGGTAGAGTGGACATTTTCAGAGCTGTACACTTTTTATTAACTGCTAGAGGGCACGTGCACTTGCCAGAAAGAGATTGAGAAAGGGGGAGAGAGGAGGCATCCCCCAGTGGGGCGTGGTCATGCCACAGCCCCTTCTCCATTTCTCTCCAGTCAAGATTTTGGGCACGCACACCTACACACCTGGTATGTTTCCTGAGCTGCCGGATTTGGGACTTGAACCACACTCAGCCATGTGGGATCTAGCTTCCTTAACCATTAGTCTGTGGGGTTAGCCCGAGAGTTGTATACTTTTAAGTAAACACTTCCCTGTGTTATTTGGAATTTTTATTAGAGTCGAATGGAGCTAGGTCTACAACTTACAAGGCAAAGGGAGGTCATGTGTGGCCACCATTACACAGTATAATGCTTAAAAATCGTTCAAGATTGGCTTACTTGTAAGTCTGAGGTTTTATAGGTTGAGCGCTATAGGAGAATCATTCTGATTTTACTCTGTTATTTAAACTCATACTGTTGAATGAGATTATTGACATTGTCCTGTAGGCTTTTCTCCATTAAGCCTTCCTGAGAAAATGCCAGTATTTATTTATTTATTTGAGGATTTGCATGGTGCAGAGTACCATGCTAGGTGTGGTAGAGAATCCAGAGGATCCTATGGCAGTGACTGATCTGCAGCATAGAATGGCTAGATGCCACAGTGCAGCAAGCATTATATATTCAGCTGATTTTCAAGCGGCTGGGTCTGAGACTTGAAATGCGGTTGGCCATGTGGAAGTCTAGTGCCTAACCACCAGGCCACCTGCTGGCCCCTCTAAAATTACTATAAAATATTACTATCAAATTTTTTATCTTTCTTTTTTCTTTTTTTTTTTTTTTTTTAGAGGTTTTTGCTAAGGGGCAAGGGCGCCCGCCA